GCCAAAAGATCACATTGACAAAAAGATTTTTTTCCAGTAAAAGAAATGTTATGAAATAATTTACATGCATTCCCCACCTTTTAAAAGTGTTTATCTTTAACTCCCCAGGCATTGCTCATCATTCTTAAGACCAGCAAATGCAAAGACTGCTGAATCACAATCTGTTACCATCAGAAAGTTTATATATTCAGCTATATTCTGAATGTTGCTAAATGGTAACTACAACAAACCCTACCTGAACTCTGTTAAGAATTTTAAAATTACGAATTGTAACCCAGGTAATTTGTTACTCATAACTGACGCACAGAATAAAACAATTTCCAGTAACTGCTTAATGCGCTACTGGAAGGCACCCAGACACTATGCTGGTGACCACAAAATAGAAGTATTTCTTTTAAGAAGCATTTCCATATTTACATACCTGTTTTGGTTTATATTTACCCTGGGCCCCATTTTTAACAGAACACGCACACGTAAATCTCTCAGGTTGCCCTCAAACCCTTGAATAGACGAACAATGGTAATACGGATTGTTCAAATGAAAGCTTTATTCGGTATTTTCATATAAACTCCAAGAGCCTGCAATATTTGTAATTGCAACTGAGAAGCTGTTAAAGAGAAACCAGCTGTTTAACTTTGCAGATAATACTTACAAACTAAAACAAGCGCTTTTCAATCACCCCACTGTTTGTCACTGTATCTTCAGTTAAGCAAGCCATTAAAATCCACTGTCTTCAGCCCGTGGTCTGTATAATGCTGTCTGCTGGTTTTTAACGTAGGCTATTTCTGCTTTTACAAGTAAAATCAAACCCGCATTTGCTGACATTCTCTGGGAATCCCCTTGGGCAAATTCAGCCTTTTGCAGCTTATTATTTGCAACACTTTTTGCTTTGTACAGAAACTTTTATTCAAGCTATATCCTGAAACATTTCACAAAGCTAGATTTGTTAATCACACAAACTGTTAACACGATTTCTAAGTTAAATAATTTAGCAGGTAGAAGGTAAGAGGACTTCAGAGGTAGACAGAAGAGAGACTGAAGAGAGATGGCTCGCAAAACAGAACCGAAGGGTTGCCGCAGCAGATAGCAGAAGGTATACAGACAGCTCTCGTACCAACAAGCCAAAGGATTTAAGGGCTGCAAACCCCGTAGGAGGAATGGAATTAAATCTGTCTCAGGAAAACGAATCATCAAGAAAACCAAAAGAGCACACGCAGCCAGTCTTGAAATAGCTTGCGTGTTGCTTCAAAATAGGAAAGGTTGTACTTCTTCAGGGCATGACGCAAACAGGCAGCAGAAGTGCTCGCCATAAGCTGGGATCCGGAGACACGGTGGCCTACGTAAGGCAACGTGAAGCTTTCCGGAGATCTCAGTAGAGCAGGGGGTAAGGTGAGGGTGGACCCTAGAAACGCGGCACAGCGGTGATATGTAGATTTGCATATCTAAGAATGCTGGAGGAAGACATCAATAATAAGAAAAGTACTAAAAAGGGGAGGCGCAACTCAAGGAAACCAAGAAACCAAGCAGCATGAGATGTTTTTCTCTCCCTTTCTGAGATGCCAAAATATGCACTGAAATAACATCTATTTTTTTGGGGGTGGTGGTGGTGGTGTGTTTTTATACGTGCACAGGTGAGTGAGTTTATCTGAGATCCATGTCATGACCAGCCCTCCCACCTTCTAAATCTCAATATTGAGATTGGATGATGCTGCAGCACAGATTTTGCCTACAAGGGTCACACAAAAACCAAACTTGACCCTATTGGAAAAGTCTGGATTTCAGTCTACAAATTCCCAGGTGAAGGGTTAAATTTGGCTTAGCCTAAATAGGAACAAGGATTACTCTATAACTTGGGTCAAATTGAGCAGGTCTCTGCACAGGTCCTGGCATAACAAATACCCAACAAAATAATTTTCTTTTGTAGTATATGCAATCTGTTTGCTTCTAAAACCATCACCAACTTCAGGCAGGCCCTACTGTAAAAACACGCACACCAAAGATAAGCGTCCCGTCCTGCGAAGCTCTTTCTAAACAGACAAGGCAGGTGAAAGATGAGGTAAGGAAACAAAAATACAGGGCAGTGAATTGACTTGCTCAAAATCACACAAAAGAAATCATCAGAAATTGCCATGACTCCCCCTTTCTCTCCAACTCTCCTTTTCATATTGCTAATAATGTCTATGGCAGCCTATAAAACCAAGGATGTAGTCCTCACTCAAGGAGCCTGAAATAAAAGCAGATAAAAACATGCTGCATGATAGAAAATGGGTTAGTCAGGAAACAAAACACTCTTCTTCTGAAAACACTGTTCTTCTGAAACAGTAAAAGGAACATTCCTTTGTCAAAAGCCAGTGCAGCCCAAGGAAGGATTAGCAGATAAGGAGCATAACTGTGGTAATACCTAGAGGATTCCTACGGCAGATTCCAAAGGCAGAAGATTTTGCAGGAGATAGCACAGAAGGGAGAGAGATCTGTGCAGAACAGATGTCCTGGAAAAGCAGCATCTGCCTTAAATCTCACACAGGACTATTTTTGTGTAGAAGAGAAAATATTTTGTTTAGATACACAATAAGGAAATCAAATGACAGCATGGTGCAAAATCAAATGGTGGCTTTGGGTATATCAAATCTGATTCAACTGGCCCTTACTAGAATTTACACTTAAGGACAAAGAATAAACTGGTCTCTCCTCAAACTGACTTTCAGAGGTAGCGGGGAGCGAAGCACTGTTTCTTTGTGAAATGCAGGCTTTAGAAGCCGCACCAGCAAAAGCAAGTGTATGGTGTTTAAATCAACTTCACTAGCAGCGAACAAGAAAAACATTTAATCCTTTTTCCTAATGTAAATACTTGTTTTGGTTTGTCTGTTACACAGTACTTGGCAAAGATCTTTGGTTCATATTACAACTAAGAGCAGCTCCTCAAGGAAACAAGCTTTGAACACTTTTATTTTCAGATGTTCTTAAAGATCTGCTTGAGCAGTGTAGTTACAGGTATCTTAAATCACTGCCTGTGACCACTTCAATGTGACAAAACATTTTTATGGAAAGATGCGCTCACTAAAAGAGGAAAGATGTTCTCCTCGGAGGATATTAAAAGTAGAGCCTACAAAAAAACCTATACTACTCTATAAAACTGTACCAATAAATAATAAAATCATGTCACAGAGATCATAAAGAAATGAATATACTTTAGGCTTGGAGTAACAGAAGCAGGTTGAGTACAGCAGTACAAAACAAATTTGTAAGGAAAAAAAATTGTGCTCGAGAGGAACACACGATCAGCTGTTAACACAGCAGCTGGCAATGGCAAAGGAGCAGGAAGAGCTAGTTGTCGTGGCAAATCACAGGGCACCCACAGCAGACAGCATGATGCAGTCATGTGAAAGGCAAATGTGGTTTAGGGATGTATCAAAAGTTATTTCCAACACGCTAAGGAGGTGTTAGTGACATGACGTGTGGCCTTCATCTTCCTTAAACATAGAGCCTAAGCAAACTCAGGCTGGACCGGATGAAGAGAAGTGCTGGTGGAACACTGAAGATCCTGTCACGCAAGGATGTTTTATGTGACTCAGAAAAGACGCGATGGATTCAAGAGGAAGAAAAGCTACTTAGCTGAAGGGCAATACTTGTGTTAGTTGGGAGGAAATGCGTGTAAACTGGTCTCAAACACACGGAGGCTTCAAGTCAGAGCAGGCTCCTAGCTGCTGGAGTAACGTCAAAATAAGAGTAAGAACAAAAGCTGAAAAACCTGCTTTTTAAGAAACCTGACAACCTCTCCTTGGTAGAAAGGACATTTCTGTTCTAGCCTTGCATGTGAGGTCTTTCACGTGGAGTACATGTTGTACATTCCTGCATCTATGACTGTGAGAGCATCCAGCACGCATCCTGCATCTCTAAAGGACAATCTAGGGCTAGAGATTACAGGAAACTTTCACATTTCTCAAAACAAACATCAGAAGAAATACAACAACCCTGATGAAGCCAAAGAAACACATAAGGTTAAATACAATACTTAAGTCTCTTCTACACACAGAGAAAATGTCGCAGAACAGAAAAAAGGACTTCAGCTTCCTTTGTAATATATGATAAACCAAATTTCCTGTCTTGTACTCCCTTCTCTGCTGATCTGACAGATTAACAGTAATTTTCTCAATGAAGCTCAAGCTCAGCAGTTACCAAGTCTATTTTGCTGTAGCTAGACTCTGACAACTGTTTTAACTGCACCTTCTGTGTTTGACCAAGACTCTCCTGAACAAAACACTGTGAGCTTTAGAAATAGAGACATATTTTTAAATGGATTCATGATTTGAACCTTTATGGTCCACTGTCTGATACCTAGAGAAGCATAGCTGTATTCTTACACAGCCAATGAATCTTGATGATGCTAAATGCAGACCAATCCCACCAAGTGAAGAAATCCAATCTGCAATCCTTAAGAAAACATCCAAGCCATCCTGGACAGTACAGCCATCAGCTCTACTTATGCATCTTTTGTTTTCCTCTCCTATGGTACTGAGAGTGATGAAGCTTCAATACACTTAGCCCCTCTCAGCTTAGCGAACACTGCAACTATTCAACACACTCCTTTCATCAACAGACAAAACCTATCAGCCTCAAAAAGGGTGCTGTACGCTGCAGCAGGGTCAGCTCTTTGGAGTATTTTTTCATTATAGTATCTGGCA